AGATCTGTGGGCCCTTTTCTCAGAAGAGAAACTACACAGGAAATGAGAAGAAAAAGTAACACCTAAAGAACCAAAACTCTTTTTTTCCTGGAGATATGCTGGCTTACTATCTTTGTATTTGAGAAGAGGTAGAAACTTGCCCCTCAGTGTCCTGAACAAGTTAAAAGTTTTATAACTGTGTCACTGTAAGGTCCCAATTTATGCCCCAAGAAAGGATCCTGAGACAGTCAGACCACCATCATTCTATTAGGTACAGACTGACCCAATGGAGCTTGGTTCTCACCAAGGGAATAACATGGTTTTTAGTGTGGGGGTATAGAATTGAAATAGTGGAAGAAATTCCATCTGGGGCTTGGAAGCAAAGTAGAATGCCTGAGTGGGGCCTGGTATTTTATCATCTCTTGGTGTGTCCTAACAGGACAAAAGAATCTACAGAGCATCTACCCAAAAAGGATCTACCCACACTCACAACTGTATGATTTTCTTGGTGAGAATAAAGCTCCAATTGGGTCAGTCTGTTCCTAATAGAATGGTGGTGGTCTGGGTTTCTTATGATCCTTTCTTGGAGCATAAATTGGGATCTTAAAGAGGAATTAGAGAGAACTGAGGTAGAACTGCCAAGTCTTGGTGGTTTCTTAGGAGCTCAGAAGAAGGGACAAGAAGGAAACAAGAATAAAATCCAGATTCCTGGCATGGACAACGAGGGAGATAAATTACTAGTTCAAAGCAGTTGTCTATTCTTCTTTCAGGTTTATAATTTTTATTATTTATATTAGTTTTTATGTAATAAACATTTGAACTCTTTCACATTTCTTCCTCCAGCCTATAGTTTCCCTTTATATTTTGCTTCTGTTTTTTTCCCTATAGTAACTTTTTGAGCTTTTTCCATTTGGTGTCTAAGTTTCAAAGCTCAGGAAGCTGTGCTTTCAAATAATTGATAAACAGTTATTCAACTTTCTGTTAGTCTTTCAATGAGTTCAGTTTTAAGGGCAAGGACCAAAATGGGCACTTCATAGGTTCCTCAATGAATGAGTGCACATGAGCACAGTTGCCATCTTCACAGAGTTTAAAATCTGGTGAGGGACAAAGGCAAATAAACAGTTAATTACGACACAATGTGACACATCTTATAACAGGAAAAGTACACTTTTTGTTCATGTGAAGACAGAAACTGAAAAGGTTATGGGCCTCCTGGAGAAACTGGCATTCAGGAGTATGGAAATAACCAAACAGAGGACATGGGAAGGAGTGATGAGGTGTGGAAACGGCACCACTAGATGTCTAAGTGAGAAACCAAGGTCATTATTGACAGCTGCAGGGTGGGGCATTAAGGCACAAGTGAAAAGACTTTTCCATCCCATTCATTTTCTTTTCTTTATTCAACATGCTTTCTTGTTATGTTCGATTTGGAATCCAAGGAACTTGAAAGTTATAAAGTTCTAACCTTCTGCAATAAATGCAAGTAGTGGCAGTGGTGGTTATAACAGTCAGAGTAGCAGTGGTTTTATTCATAGATTTGTTAATCAGATTAAAGAGTTCCGTTGGAGTATGATATAAATTGCATATTTAATTTTTTAATTTATTTAATATATTGTTAACTATAAGGAAAATTATAATAACTTCTTTATGAAGCGCAAATTCATATTCAGGATCAGATCCATTTATGAGTTTTGTATCCTGTCCCATTTACCTAAATTTATATTTTATATAGTAACACATGGTTTTAAGTGATACTCCTTTAACATGTGCTGCATTCCAATTCAAATGATTTAAATAAATGGGGAAACACACAAGATTCAGCAAGTCAGAAGCACAAAATGCTTAGTATAGTTGAAAACAATGCTGGAAATTTGTTTTAAGACAAAAAGAAAAGGGGAAGAAGAGATACGGCTTTACACAACCAGGAAATCATAACTGAATTCCTTCTGCCTTTAAACTCTAAATATTTTCAATTAAAATCAGGAAACAGAGTCACTTCTGGAAGAAATGGCAACTTCAGCACAGGTATACAAATGGTCCTGATTGAAATGATCAAAGAAAGAGAAAACTAAAGAAAACCTGAATGAGTAGGTGAAACTAGAGAAGGGCACCTTGAACTGTATGCTATTTCTGTTAGTCATGGATCAGATTAAAGGAAAATATTAAGGGTCAGTTCATAACTCTCTTCTTGAGCAAGTGGCACAACCTCAGGGGGATAAAAATACATAGGCAGTGTAGTGACAGTGGTCTGTTAGACAACAGATCAATGGAAAAAAATGAAGAGCCCAGAAAAAGACCAACACATGTGGGAATGATGAAGAGGCAACAGTGGCAGACAGGTAGGACTATTCGGTAAACAGCATTGAAACAATTAGCCAATGCAATGGAAAAAATGATATAATTGCATCTGTGTCATACACCATCTAGAAAAAGAAATTTCATATAGATCAAAGATCTAAATGTGAAACATAAAACCTGAAAGCACAAATCATATGGTACCATAAGACTGAAGATTTGTAAGACTCACTATATTCTTTAAAAAACTTCAAAATAAAAGATACCAAACAAACATGGGAACAACAGATGCTGTGGACTACTAGAGAGTGGGGAGGGAGGTTGGTTAAAAAACTACCTATCAGGTACTATGCTCACTACCAGAGTGATGGAATCCGTACTCCAAACCTCAATATCATGCAATACTCTCATGTAACAAATCTGCACACATACCTCCTACATCTAAAGTAAGAGTTGAAATTTATACACACACACACACACACACACACACACACACACATCCCGCAAAGATAAAAGCTGCAAAGTAAGAGATGCTTTCAATGTCTAAAGGAGACAAAAAATTGTAAGAAAAAAGAATCTCATTGATAATAAGGTAAATGCAAATTAAAACCAGATACTATTTCACACCAATACAACTGGTATGAGTCTGAAGAAACCATGTGTTGGCAAGTATGTGCAGAAAAAGTAGGTCTTGCGCACTGTAGATGAGAACAAAGATTGTTACAACTATGAGGGAGAATAAGCTGCAATGTTCATTAAAGTATGACTAGACTATTCAACTCACCACGGTGATTTCTAGTTGTATATCCCAGAGCAGTGTTGAGAACAGGCACAACTGTGTACCAGCAGTGATGAGAACAGCACACCACCCATAGCCATACAACCCCTCTCTAGGTGATTTAGTGAGTGAGTGGTGGGGGCGTTTCTGATTGGGGCCTACTACTGGCAGTTACTGAGCAGGGGCCAGTGCTTTGCATGTGTGAAAATGTCCTCCCGTACAAAGAGTTACCCTCTTTGTATAGCTTTTGAATATTCTGCTGGAAAAATCTGTTTATAATAATCTGAGTTTAAATCTAATTCAATTTTAATAACAGAATTTTCTGTAGTTTAATATACACCGAATTTTCAGAAATGGAATTACCACATAAATCAAAGGAAGTATGAACTTGTTCTGAAAACAAGCTGTTCACCATTTTATCGACAGCCACTCATGGTATATGAGTCATCAATACCATACATCTGTATCAAGCTACATCTGTGACTGTCACAGAAACATGGTGACTACAAATATCTGACTTAACTCATGTAGTCAAACTGGAACATTTATATACTAAAATGCACACTATTTTATTGTAAATCACCTCCCTTTTATTTATCCCTTACATTAAAGTATTATACTGATATTTTTGAAATTATGTAGGCAGGCAGATTATTTGATCTTTGAATTTCATTTCTGGGTAGTAAAAGTGATGTCAGAATATTTGTTATGAAAAGAAAGTGGGGTTCGACGGGGTTAAGAAGTACCCCCTAGAAAAACTCATCTATGTGCACAAGGAAAAAAATGTTCAAAGGTATTCACTGTAATGCACCTGTCATAGCAAAAAACTGAAAGCACCCTTCAATATCCACCAACAGAAGACTGAAAAAATAAATTATAATGAATTCATACAATGGAATCAACATAGAAAAAAATCTGTAAAACATAAAACAGTACAATAATGGCAAGTTTCAGAAGGTCATGAACAATATGATACTATTACGCAAAGTTTAAACATTAAATAAATATATTGCTGACAGACACCTATTGAAATTACAAATAAGTTTTAAAGCACTGGGAGAGAAAATTACACAGCAAGTTTAAAGAAGTGGTATGGCTGGGGAATCTGGGAGTTATTGATGGGATAAGGAAAGGATATAAAGGGACTTAGCTAACATTTAATCAGGTATAAAGAGAGTTGTACAATTACAGAAAAACATTAAAATTAGTTGAGTCTGGATGGCAGGTACATGAATGTTCATTATATTATTTACTGTCTGAAATACTTTATAAAGTTTTAAAAAGTTAATGATCGTTACATTCAGCTCCTGGTTTTTATCTTTTTCTTTATTCTTGTAATTTGCAAATATTCTATAATTAACTTATGTTTGTAAAAAGGTATCTTTCCTCTTTTAAAATGTGTGCACTTTAAAATTACAACTTTAAATGCATACATAAAATATGTAAGAAAAAAATATATGCACAGAAAATAGAGCTGGAGGATATATTCCAAAATGTCAATAGTGGCTATGTCTGGATAGTGGGGTTAAAGATGATTCTCATTTTACTTTTTCTATATTTAAACAAATGGTCACACCAAATGTACTATTTTTATGATGATAAAAATATTTTTCTTTCTTTTTAAAAAATATATTTGGGCCAGGCACAATGGCTCATGCCTGTAATCCCAGCACTTTGGGAGGCCGAGGTGGGTGGATCATGAGGTCAGGAGATCGAGACCATCCTGATTAACATGGCGAAACCCTGTCTCTACTAAAAATACAAAAAATTAGCTGGGCAGGGTGGCAGGTGCCGGTAGTCCCAGCTACTTGGGAAGCTGAGGCAGGAGAATGGCATGAACCCAGGAGGTAAGACTTTGCAGTGAGCCGAGATTGTGCCACTGCACTCCAGCCTGGGCGACAGAGTGAGACTCTGTCTCAAAAAAAAAAAAAAAAAAGTACATTTACGTCAGGGTAGAGCACGAACCCAGTTCCTCACTACCACAAATTATGCAGTCGAGTTTCCCACATTTGGGAAAATCGCAGGGGATCAGCACACCTGGAGTGTATTGAATAAGCCTCAACCTGGGAAACCACCTTTGTGGTCTTGGTATCTCCCCTACCAAGTATCTATGATGATTTTAAAACAAAAAACAAAACAAAACAAAAAGCTTAAAAATAACCAGAAGTTAAAAAAAAAAATAGCCTTTTTGTAACTTCTGTGCCTTGAATGCTCACATTGTTTGATGAACCTGGGATTATACTGTAAATGGATTACATTTGCATTAATCAATTTAGATCCTAGAAACTGAAAATGTGGTCTCACCTCTGGATTGCCAGACTTGGATTTCATGGTGTCTCGTGTCCACAGAGGGAGTCTTGGATTCCTATCTGATAGGGAACTGGAATGTTTCTTGAGGTTAACCAAGGTCCCGAGAGTAAGGAGACTTAGTCTGCAGTTTAAGAAGGCTGTGTTGAACCTTAGTCCCACTGCCAAACTCTAATCTCCAGATCTACTTACAGGCCACCGTGGAATTAGATGTGGGCCTGCATCACCCGATGCCACCCCTGTGTCCTTTACCATCTGTAATGATTACTTTTCCAAAGGTTAATATTTTCTACAAAGTCAATTTAGGAATTATGGAATTTGGAGGGTCCTGTAGAATCTTACAGTCTAGTACACTGTGATTTCCTTGAGGGCAGGCTCTAAACAGTTGCTGCAAGAATATGTCATATATCTTCTGTGCTTTTTAGATTTACTTCACTAAGTGTCTAGTAACCACTTATATTTATAAACTCTTGCTGTGCACCACGGGGGAGACAGAGATGAAGACAGAGATCCCACATTCTATTTTCTCACATTTTCTTATTGTAAGTGCTCCTGAAGCATTTTTACAATGCAGTCACATTATTACTGAGTATTCCAATCCCTGAGCCTTGAAGCTTCGGATTTTTGAGACTATTGCCCTACGTCTGCATCTTGATGTGGCACAAGTACTGACTGTGACATTGATACAGTTTACTTGAAGAAACTGAATTCCTAAAAGGCAAAAGTAAGAATATTAGAATATTAACTAATTTTTAAGCAAATACCGATTATTTCAATTCAAGTCAGTATCTTTTCCAGTGCATGCATTACTTCCTGGTAAGAAGCAGCAACTTTCAAAGCAGCTCTGTTATTGTGGACTGAAAAAAAAAAACAACCTTCATATTTTCTTTCTCACTTAGTAGATCAATGAAATAACCAGAACTACAGGTTGAATTTTTGGTATTAATACTATTTTCTTTTTTAAAATTTATTTATTATTATTATTATACTTTAAGTTCGAGGGTACATGTGCATAACGTACAGGTTTGTTACATATGTATACTTGTGCCATGTTGGTGTGCTGCACCCATCAACTCGTCAGCACCCATCAACTCGTCATTTACACCCATCAACTCCGTCATTTATAACACATATAACTCAATGCAATCCCTCCCCTCTCCTCCCATCATAGTCTCTGTGTGATGTTCTCCCCGAGTCCAAGTGATCTCATTGTTCAGTTCCCACCTGGGTGAGTGAGGAACATGCAGTGTCATTCTGCTCCTTGTGATAGTTTACTAAGAATGATGGTTTACAGCCATCCATGTCCTTGCCACACATGAAGCCTATCCTTTTAATGGCTGCATAGTATTCCATGGTGTATATGTGCCCCATTTTTTAATCCAGTCTGTCACTGATGGATACTTGGGTTGATTCCAAGTCTTTGCTATTGTGAATAGTGCCGCAATAAACATATGTGCATGTGTCTCTATGAGTAAGGCATTTATAATCCTTTTGCATATACCAGCAATGGGATGGCTGGGTCATATGGTACATCTAGTTCTAGATCTGGAGGAACTAATGTTTTCCACAATGAAGAACTAGTTTACAATCCCACCAACAGTGTAAAAGTGTTCTATTTCTCCACATCCTCTCCAGCACCTGTTGCTTCCTGACTTTTTAATGATCACCATTCTAACTGGTGTGAAATGGTATCTCATTGTGGTTTTGATTTGCATTTGATGCACAGTGATGATGAGCATTTTTTATGTGTCTGTTGGCTGTATGAATGTCTTTTGAGAAATGTCTGTTCATATCCTTTGCCCACTTTTTTGATGGGGTTGTTTGTTTTTTTCTTGTAAATTTGTTTGAGTTCTTTGTAGGTTCTGGATATTAGCTCTTTGTCAGATGAGTAGATTGCAAAAATTTTCTCCCATTCTGTAGGTTGCCTGTCCACTCTGATGGTAGTTTCTTTTGCTGTGCAGAAGCTCTTTAGTTTAATGAGATCCTATCGGTCAATTTTGGCTTTTGCTGCCGTTGAGCTTTTGATGTTTTAGACATGAAGTCTTTGCCCATGCCTATGTCCTGAATGGTACTACCCAGGTTTTCTTCAGGGTTTTTATGGTATTAGTCTAACATTTAAGTCTCTAATCCATCTTGAATTGTTCTCGTATAAGGAGTAAGGAAAAGATCCAGTTTCAGCTTTCTACTTATGGCTAGCCAATTTTCCCAGCACCATTTATTAAATAGGAATCCTTTCCCCATTTCTTGCTTCCCAGGTTTGTCGATCAGAGCACAGATGTGTGGTATTATTTGAGGACTCTGTTCTGTTCCCATTGGTCTATATCTCCATTTTGGTACCAGTACCATGCTGTTTTGGTTACTGTAGCCTTGTAGCATAGTTTCAAGTCAGGAGCCGTGATGCCTTCAGCTTGTTCTTTTGATCAGGAATGGTCTTCTGGAGATGCGGGCTCTTGGTTCCATATGAACTTTGTGCTGGTTTTTTCCAATCTGTGAAGCAACTCATTGGTAGCTTGATGGGGATGGCATTGAATCTATAAATAACCTTGGGCAGTATGGCCATTTTCACGTATATATTGATTCTTCCTATCCATGAGCATGGTATGTTCTTCCATTTGTTTGTGTCCTCTTTATTTCACTGAGCAGTGGTTTGTAGTTCTCCTTGAAGAGGTCCTTTACATCCCTTTAAGTTGGATTCCTAGATATTTTATTATCTTTGAAGCACAGAATGGAAGTTCATTCATGATTTGGCTCTCTGTTTGTCTGTTACTGTGTATAAGAATGCTTGTGATTTTTGCAAGACACTTGTATCCTGAGACTTCACAGTTGTTTATCAGCTTAAGGAGATTTTTGAGCTGAGACAATGGGGTTTTCTAAATATACAATCATGTCATCTGCAAACAGGGACAATTTGACTTCTTCTTTCCTAACTGAATACCCTTGATTTCTTTCCTCTTGCTTGATCAGTTCTAGCTGAACTCAACACTATGCTGAATAGGAATGGTGAGAGGCATCCCTGTCTTGTGCCAGTTTTCAAAGGAAATTTTTTCCAGTTTTGCCTATTCAGTATGATATTGGCTGTGGGTTTGTCCATAAATAGCTTCATTATTTTGAGGTACGTTCCATCAATACCGAATTTATTGAGCGTTTTTAGCATGAAGGGCTGTTGAATTTGTCAAAAGCCTTTTCTGCATCTATTGAGATAATGATGTGGTTCTTGTCTTTGGTTCTGTTTATATGCTGGATTATGCTTATTGATTTGCGAATGTTGAACCAGCCTTGCATCCCAGGATGGTCACTTGATCATGGTGGATAAGTTGATGTGCTGCTGAATCCGGTTTGCCAGTATTTTATTGAGGATTTTTGCATCGATGTTCATTAGGGATATTGGTCTAAAATTCTCTTTTTTGCTGTGTTCTCTCTGCCAGGCTTCAGTATCAGATGATGTTGGCCTCTCATAAATGAGTTAGGGAGGATTCTCTTTTCTTTTGATTGGAATAGTTTCAGAAGGAATGGTACCAGCTCCTCCCTTTGCACTCTCTGGTAGAATTCAGCCGTGGGAATCCATCTGTCCTGACTTTTTGGTTGGTAGGCTATTAATTATTGCCTCAATTTCAGAGCCTGCTATTGGTCTATTCAGGATTCAACTTCTTCCTGGTTTAGTCTTGGAAGAGTGTAAGTGTCCAGGAAATTATCCATTTCTTTTCGATTTTCTAGTTTATTTTATGAGAGGTGTTTATAGTATCTTCTGACGGTAGTTTGTATTTCTGTGGGGTCGGGTGGTGATATCTCTTTATCATTTTTTTATTGCATCTATTTGATTCTTCTCTCTTTCCTCTTATTAGTCTCGCTTAGCGGTCTGTCAATTTTGTTGATCTTTTTCAAAACCAACTCCCTGGATTCATTGATTTTGGAGGGTTTTTGTGTCTCTATCTCCTTCAGTTCTGCTCTGATCTTAGTTATTTCTTGCCTTCTGCTAGCTTTCGAATGTGTTTGTTTTGCTTTCTAGTTCTTTTAATTGTGATGTTAGAGTGTCAATTTTATCTTTCTGCTTTCCTGTGGGCATTTAGTGGCTATAAATTTCTACACACTGCTTTAAATGTGTCCTGGTGAGATTCTGGCATGTTGTATCTTGTTCTCATTGGTTTCAAAGAACATCTTTATTTCTGCCTTCATTTCGTTAGGTACCCAGTAGTCATTCAGGCAGGTTGTTCAGTTTCCATGTAGTTGAGCGGTTTTGACTGAGTTTTTCTAGTCCTGAGTTCTAGTTTGATTGCACTGTGGTCTGAGAAACAGTTTGTTATAATTTCTGTTCTTGTACATTTGCTGAGGAGTGCTTTACTTCCAATTATGTGGTCAATTTTGGAATAAGTGATGTGGTGGATGTGGTGCTGAGAAGAATGTATATTCCGTTGATTTGGGTGAGGAGTTCTACAGGATGTTCATTAGGTCTGCTTGCTGCAGAGATGAGTTCAAATTCCTGGATATCCTTGTTAACTTTAACTTTCTGTCTCGTTGATCTGTCTAATGTTGACAGTGGAGGTAGTTGAAGTCTCCTAATATTATTGTATGGGAGTTCAAGTCTCTTTGTAAGTCTCTAGGACTTGGCTTTATCAATCTGGGTCCTCCTGTATTGGGTGCATATATATTTAGGATATTGAATTGATCTCTTACTTCATTATGTAAATGGCCTTCTTTGTCTCTTTGATCTTTGATGGTTTAAAGTCTATTTTATCAGAGACTAGTATTGCAACCCCCGCTTTTTTTTTTTTTTTTTGTTCTCCATTTGCTTGGTAAATCTTCTCCAT